AAGGTTGCAGTAAGTCAAGCCTTTCGCCTGTTACAACATAAGGCAGAGGATTGCCACTGTTCGCCCACAAATTTCCATTTAATGATTTTTTAAGCTAGGCTCAATTCCACCAGAACACCAATACGGCCTGAATGTTGGTCTCCAATTATAAATCGATTAGAAAACCTACACCCGTTGAATTTGATAATACCAGTGCCCTGGCGTTTCACTGACAGGAATTGGACTAAGTCCAGTTGGTGTTTTGCGGTCTCATCCACAAGCCCGTGCTCATTCCCTCTGACTTAGGAGCTCCCACTGTCAAAATCGTTCCCGTGGAGTCCTATCTGGCATCCTTAATGGGATTTGCCTTCTGCATCCTCCGTTCGGAACGCGTAGCGCTGACTGGTATGTATCTTCAGCAGCCGAAGCCTTGCTGCAATTCCCCCTACCTTCCCTTATGATTTGGCAGGTACAGCCTTCGGTAACGTAGATATCATTATCCTGTCTGTTAAGGTAAACTTCGCATGGGTTAACAACTCGTACTCGATGCTCATCCGGTCTTGTCAGTGCCACTTTTGCGATGCAAATTTTGCCCTCCTGGCTTATCACATGAATCGCAATAAAGACCCTAAGGGCAAAAAATGCCTCAAAATAAGTATGCGAAAGACAGTAAGATGATCTGTTGTAAAGTAGAAAAATATTTCAGGTTCCATCTTAGATGTAAGTCCGGCTGCGAATATCAAAGCACACGTGTATTCGCTTGCCTTTGTCACAACAAGAAAACCGCAGCTCTTCATTTGAAACATTCATATTGATGAAGCAAAGCTACGAGTTGGTATTCATTGTTTATTTACAACATATACTGCGGGTTTCTTTGTAGTCGATGCAAACCGGTAAATGTAAGTGCATTCACGTCCAAGGGCGAATACTGAAGTATGTCGCTTTTTGTACCTGCCAGATTTGCACATAAATCGTTCGAACGCTGGTCTGGAATCAGAAGTTGTCTTGCGCGTTTCTTGTAGCTTTTCCAGGCTTGGAAAACCATGTCGCGAGGCTTCGTCGTTTTTGGATTCATCGTCGTCGTCATGCTTCAGTGCTCCGCAGGGCAGTTTGCCATAGATCTGCTAAC